CACACCGCGGCGCTGATTGGACTATGCTTTGGTTGTGTTACATCTGTGTATAACAGCGTTATCTTCTTGATGGAGAAGAGGAATCCGACGAAAATATTGCAAATATGGTATAAGACGATTGTACAATATCGGCTTTGAAAAAAAGCTTCCGTTCCTTCCTTAAATCTCCTCCAGTAAACTGTTAAACAATTATTATTGGAGAGATTTGAGGAAGGAACCGCGCTTTTACTCAAAGCCGAACTTTGGTGGTCGTACCTGTACGGTTTGGTGTGTCTTCTCTGCATTGCGACCATAGAGCTGGTCTTCACATGTGCGCGAACGGAAAATACTGAATACATCGAGATATTGGAGGATCGTCTCGTACGATATTTGCAACGTTTTCGTCGGATTTCTCTTGTCTATCAAGAAGATAACGCCGTCATACACAGAAGTAGCACAACCAAAAGCATGGTTCAATCAGCGTCACAGCGTGATATTTGAATAGTTTGCCCGATCGCCGGATTGTAATCCTATGGAAAACGTCTGGGCAACATTGGTGCATCGTGTATACGCAAATAATAAAGAATATGAGTCTGTGGAAGAGCTCAAAACTGCAATTTTAGCAGCTTGGCAGAATCTTGAGCTGAATCTGCTACAGCAATTGACTGATTCCATGAAAAACTCGTATTCTTGACATTATCAGGAAGAAAGGATGACAGTCCACCTATTAAATCAGTGTTGATATTGTTAATCATTGTTATTATGTTGTTACTTTTTCAATAAATTTATTATCTCTGGAAGTGTTCACAAACTTTTGTCATGGCTGGAAAACTAATTTTTATTAATAAAAACGTGTAATGTACGAATTTACGAATAACACGGTATTACTGGATTATGCAAAAAGTTTCTGGTACATATAGAAATCGAAAAATTAGCGGTTTTCACAAATTTCTGTCTCGCAGTGTTTTTTTTTCTTTTTTTTTTTTTTACCATATTATTATTCTCGTGCGCGCTCCCTAGAAACTTAGTCAGATGTCAGACGATCGCGCTACGGCTAACAGCAACCGGCGCTCCGAGGCGGACGAGCAGCTTCTGCTGAAGGAGTGGGATTTCACCCGCTTCTTCCAAGGTTTTAATGAAAGGTTGGATAAAATGAAGCAAGATCATCCGCAAGAGTCGGCCGAGACGAATAAGTCCGGCAGCGAGGATCTGTCCTCGTCGTCTACCGAGAGAACGTTGAAGAGGCAGGAGCAGTTGTCGCGCAGAAAGTACGAAAACTATCAGCCACAACAGCAACAACAACAACAACAACAACAACGACAACAACAAGATCAACGACAACAACTAGAACAACAACAACAACAACAACAACAACAACAACATCATCATTACAATCAGAAGCAACAGCAATTAAAGCCGGTTCACCGACGACAGGAAAGTGATTCGAAGCTTGGCAATACGTCCAGCGCTTTTGCACGTGCTTTTCGCCGTGAAAATTCTGATTTCTTCCCTTCCGCGAGACATTCTGCATATTTACAGAAGTCGGATTCCGCGAGGTCGAGTATATTCGCAAGCGGTAACCGGCGCGGCAGCGAAATTAGTGTCGCTGGTATCGCCGGCAAGAAAGGTGGTGCTGTCAACGCTGGTGAACCGGTTCTTACAGACTTTTCGTTCGATCGTGACGGTCTTCAGAGGCCTCGAAGAGAAAAGACAGAGAGCGAGATCATTTTTGGTAATAGACACGAGGCAAGACGGTTCGAGTTCGGACGTGATAAAGATGACACTACGAGGAGACGGAGTTGTAGGCCATCCGACGCGGTCTCGGTCGCGGTTGACGAAGCAGGAACTATTAAATCTACTGCCAGTACAACGGCTAGCGAGTACAGCCCAATTGTCACTCAGGTCAGTCCCCCCAACGAGCCCTGCCTGTGTGCTTGCCTGAGAAATACCTATCGCAATACCTATTTGTCTATACCTTCGGTCTGTAACCTTCATGAATTTCAACCTCAAGGTCATATACATCCGCCATCCTTTGCGTGTCTGTCGATATACTGAATATTCTTTTTCTTCTTTTTTTTTTCTTTATAAATCTGTCTTATTGTAACACATAAACTTATTGTAAATACAAAATTGGTCTTAAATTGTTCGACTTGAATACAGAGTATGTGCATATTTTTGATTGAATTACATTATTCTACAGAGTTCTTATATCATACATGATTATATATTATAGAAACTTATTATTTCATGCAAGGTATATATTTGTTACGGCTGTTACAAATGAACCTATGTGCTGCTATTAACATGTACAGGGTCCGACTGAAAGGATGCTATAAGCAGGCAGAATGCGATTCTTTGTACAAAAAAATATCAAAAGGATAGAATAAAACTTTTTCATTAAAGGTTTCATATCCAAGATGGTCGAATTTGACAATCTGCTGGATGCAAGTGCAATTGAATTAAATTTGGATAACAAATTTGTATTCTACACTTTTGATTTATTTGTGCATAAAGAATCACCTCCTGCTAGTGTGTATCATCCTCTTAGCCCCACTCTGTATACTTGTTAGCTATACTATACATTTTTTGGATGACTAGCTGTTTTAATTGATAGAATATATTTTAGTGTCACATTCTACTAATTAAAAGTTACAGGTCATGAAGATGGCTTTTGTACGTCTATGATAGTATTTAAATGTCTAGTATTCCTTCCCTATATATCTTCAGAAACTCTTCAATACTTTACTAGCCCACTTTTGTCTTGTCTCTTGTTCATTACTGTTCTATATTCACCATTGAAAAAACAGACATAGAGCATGTCTATTGTCATTCAGACATATGACACAATAGAGATGATGTTATGATTATAAAGAGATCATCAGAGCACAATTATAGAGAAGGAAGCTGTGTTATATTCATTATTGTATGACTTTTAATAGAGATCTATTAAAATTAATTATTCATAATTGAACTAATTTTAAATAGAAATATTAAATGCTTATAGCACATGGTTCATTTCAAGCCATTAAATTTTTTTCGATCTAGAATATATAAAAATCCTTATCTATTGTTTTTTAGAACCAGAATTCTCATTATGAACTTAAATTTCTTGCATTATAAAATATGCATTATAAATATTATAACTATAGAAATCATTGGGTATGCGAGTAATGTCGAAGATTTAGGTTTTGGCTATAAATCTTGCATGAGTTTTCTGGGATTTTAATTTTTGTTGTGTTCCTTCTTCAAATTGAATATTTATATTATTTTACAGGATTTTTTGTTTATAATATATATTGCAAACGTAAATTGAATTGAAAGAAGCATATGCGATTTAAGCAGCCAGTTGTATGCCATGTATTCAAAGTTTATAATAATTAACAAATAACTACAAAGTATTTTTTAGAGAATTTGTATTTTATAAGAACGGAGGTGTAATATAGTCTAAAAGTGAAAAGAAATGGTATAGCGAGGCCAATTTTGTATTAAAGTTAATTATATTTGATCAATTTTCAAAGCTTAAAATACTGTTTCATACGGAACAAATGTATTCCATGTTTCTGGTTTATTTTGAGAAACAGAATTACTTTGTTCTATAAGAATACTGTACAAGTAATACTGTAAATTCAGTTTACATTGTATTTTACATTCTTAATTTAAACTTAAATTCAATTTATACACTTATACTAAAATTTTATGTTTTCTGTACATACTTTCTTATATTCTACAAGAAGAACATCTTATATACTTATTTTTGATAAAATTAAAATTTGATACTGGATTCTTAACATTGTTGTCTTTAGGTGCTACAAATTCGCTATGTTTCATTTTACCTGAAATATATTTAAAAAGTGAAGCAATAATAACGAATAAGTTTTGTAATTTATTACTATATTCATCTTTTAGATCATAAATTAATTACGTTCATTTTGAAGTTTTAAGTTAAATACATGACTGAGAATTCTATGTTCTTTTAACAAAATTGTAACTTACATCGATGGTAGAATCGTCAAATGTATTTTTTATACAAGTGTAGGTGATCCAGTACATCTAACATTTTATACTTCATTACAGCCACTAATCTAAACTTCGGAAACGTAGTTAGTCCTGATGTGATTGTTTTTTTTTAAAGTTTACTATATCTTATAATCGGTTAGATAATCCGATATAGTTTTGATATTAAGACTTATTAAAATTTGTAACACATCACAATAAAATAAAGAAAACCAGAATATCGACAGACATCTTTCTCATTGAACTCTTACATCCACTTTCCCGACATTTAACAGCATACAAAGATCAATATAGAAAGCTAGTCAGCTACGCTCGAACTTTTAGGCGCATTTACCAATTATCTATGTACCCTAATTTTCATTATTTTTTAACATTTACAGACATGAGTAGGAACGATACATAACTATTAGTGCTATCAGTATTACTCTACTACCAGTATTACTATTATCTTCTTCACTACTTCATTAGATGGTTCATTCAGTCAGAGATGCATAAAAGTTTCTAGAGAACTGTTGGCATATCATTAATGCATACTTTGGTATAGTTACATTAACCATACTTTATCATTAATAGTACGTTTTACTATCGTTGTAATAGAGGATAGGAAGTTATTTAAATGATTAACAAAGCTTACCTAATTCGAGATTTGTGTTGTGGCTAATCATAAATAAAATAGGAACATGATACTATGATAGACGACTTACGGTGACAGAATCTTTACCACTTACTTGTTGTTTTTTTGTCTAATATACTGCGTTTAATCCTTTGGTTTCTTACTCTATTCGCACTTTACTTATAACTGGTTGCAGATTTAGTCTTTTGCTGATAATGTTGCTGTACCTGAATTTGACAGGTTTCAGAGAAAATGTTCATAATTATTAGATTACATGAAAATTATCGGTGTCAGTGGAGACGCAACAAATATTGGCTGTTCACTGGGTAGGGGGTGATTCTACGTGAAAAAATAAGTCGAAACTACAGAATACAATTTTTTCATGTGAAATTTCTTTTGAGAAAATCGACTTTAAAATCTGCTGGATATCCGTACAATTGAGTAACATTTGGCTAGCGCGTCTGTTTATTGTATTGCGTTCCTACTTGCTACCGTAACGAATACACACGTTTTAGATTCATTTTCAAAGTCGATTTTCTCGAAAATGAAATGTCAAGTAAAAAAATTTCATCCTATATTTTCTACTTATGTTTCCACGTTGAATCATCATCCCACCCGGTTGTAACATTAGTACACGACACCCTGTATACGTAAGATTAGTTTGAATCACTAGTCGAGTGAGCTGTAATATTGGACAACATAACTGTGAAGAATGTATGTCTGTATTCTTATATTTCTTACTAATCTATATAGGTAATATATTTCAATATTACATATAAATTATGACATCAGTCATAATATAATAATTTAAAACGATTATCAATTCCTTAAAATCGACGTTTCAGTGTGAGTTTTCACCATTGTTCCAACTATTGTTGCTTTTATCGCCGCTGCTATTACTATCACTGTTATTCCTGTTGTTACTATTAATATTACTATTTATACTGTTACTAATATTATTGTTACTAACAAAGTAACTTCGAGCTTCAGCAGTCCTTAGAAGAAAATTGTGCTCAAGTTACAAACTGAAAATATATATAGCACATTTTATTGATTTTCTATTTCTTTTTATAAATACTATGTTCAATACATAGTTCCGTTCATATTTATAGCAGAATCTATTCTTGTTATTTATATTCAATAGAACCGACATGACTAAAATGTACGATCGTTTAATGCTTGGACAAAATGACAGTAAAGCTTCCATTCTGTTAGTGTATACAAATAAATAAAATATGAAATTTTCTTAAAAATAAAAATTTTTAAATAAGGTTGTGAAAAATAGATGTAACGCGAAATAGTGTAACATAAAATAATTTACTAATATTTTGCTATGTTTGCTATCAGTGTAACAGCATTATGGAAGTCTGTAAGCTATAAAATTAATATTAAAGTAACTTCCATGTTTTTATAGTGAGTTATCATTTTATTTCACATTATAACTCATTAAAAATTACGATAGATTGATATCTTTATTGTTACAAATTCATAGTACGGTACAATTGAATCATACAAATTAGATTCAGATTAGCTTTTCAAATATATTTTTCTTTTACATATATTTATACATATATATATATATATATATATAATTAGTTTTATTATGACAAAAATTATAGATGTACAACATCAAAAATTAATGGTTGCGTAGTTTAATTAATGGCTTGGGTTATTCTGTTAATATTCAATAACAAAAAGCTGAATTAATACCGTTAATAACATCATGTGCATTGCACTTTGTACCATAATAATCTTTTACTACCTTTGCTAAAGTGTTTTCTGCGCGAATATACATATTACACACGGAGAAAGATTTTTAATATATCGTTAGGCATACAAGTAATCTTACTACAGTTTTACATTATTCATTTATCAAAATGACTTATTAAAACAAACAATTAGCAGTTGCTTGATTTAATGGAACAAATTTTTTAAAAAACAACATTCTTTATAAAATATACTTTCGTCGTAGAGAAAATGATGTATACAGGGTGATTTAAGACAAGGAGTCCCTCTCCACGAAAAAATAAGTTGAATACGTACAGTAACACTTTTTAATATGAGTCTTCATTGTGAGTAAAATTAATTCGGAACATTCGTCGAACATGCGTGTCTAAGAATACAGATATTATTGTTTCTGACTAGTAGTCGGTATTTCTACTTGGAGTAAATATAGGGTGACCCCAAAATCGTGGTACAACTAGCCTGAAAGTGATTCTACCTGCACAAATAAGTCGAAAAAAAGATTAATATTTTTTCATATAAGCCTTTGTTT